TACCCTGTCAGCCCTTGCCCCAGCCCCTGACCTTACCCCTGCCCCCGCTCCTGCCCTGACACTGCTCCTGCCCCTGCCCTGCCTCTGCCCTGCCCCTGCCCCTTCCTTGCCCTGCCCCTACCCAACTTCTGTTCTCCAGCCTCCATCCAACAGCCTCCTCCTTGTTTCTCAACCTCATGACAGAAAGGCTTCAATTCACCCCCATACTTTCTACAGCTCTGAAGAGGTTCCTCCTCTGTGAAGCAGTATAGGCCTCCCAACCCCTACCCTACCCAAGACCCCCAAAGAGCTGATTCCCCACATGGGGTGCAGCATCATTAGAGGGTGTCTAATTCCTTGCTGCTGCCCCCCAACCTATGCCCAATGGATCCCTTGCCAGAGCAAGGACTATTCAGAGCCCACAGTGGCCCCAGAGCCCTGCTGTGGATGAGCGAATGAACTCAGCCACACACAAGGTCTGGCTGTCCCTTGCTGCCCAGACTGGGGCTGCCTCACAAGGGATGGATCAGGAAGAGACCAGCCAGAAACAGGAGCAGCAAAGGGCTGGACTCAGCACAGACGGCCTCAGAGGGGCCACTAGGGCAGATACCCCATTGAAGTAGTGCTCCTAGGTAGGACTTATGGGCAGCAGGGGCATGCAGGTAGTGTCTCAGCTGTCTGGCCTGCAGAGCTCCCCAGTAGCACACACCTGTGGCCTCTACCCCTAGCCTGGACTTCAGTCTAGGGCCTCAGCTCAAGGGCTGGCCAAGGGAAGCAGTTCCCGTCCAGGGCTAGGCTGGGGCAGCCCTGCCCCCTGTGCCCACCCTGTGGCCCCAGATGTCTTGCTGGAATCCAACAGCTCCCCCTCCCCGCTGGCCTGTGGAGCCCCTCCCAGCCCGACTCGTGGCTCCCCACATTCATCTTAGTCTCAGGTCTCAGGGCCACGAAATATGTCTACTTCCAGCTCTCCTTCCCTGCACCTCCAGCCCACCCTGTGGCCAAGCTACTTGCAGATACATGGCTGTGGGGTCATAGAGCACTGGCCACACACACCTGGCCCCACCACAGCCAGACCACAGACCAGACATGACGTGGAGGGGGTGACCCCATCTGGTGAGCAGGAAGTGGGCGAGTGACCCATCTCTGGGCCAGACACACAGACACACAGCCCCTCCACGGCCTGCCCCTCAGCATCCAGTCATGGCCCCCAGGGGCAAACAGCCAGAATGGGACAGGCTTCTGCTTAGGACACAAGACCATCAAGGCAGGAGAGCTCCAGGGTGGCAGGCAGGCAGCCATGGGGACAGGCCTGGGCCAGGTGGCTGTGTGGACCCTGCAGCAGCCTTGAGCAGGTAGGTCCAGGAGGCTCCAAGGACCTTCTCAGCCACTTAGGAGCTCTCTTGGGAGCAAAGAAGGGAGAACAGGCATGGAGACCAGCACAGAGGCAGAGATGACCAGGTCAGTGAGATGAGAGCCTGGGTAGAATGGGATGACCAGGCAGAGCAGAGCTAAACTGAGAAGAATACCTAAATCTTCCTGGGACACATGAGGACAGATCTCCAGACTTAAAAGATACACAGACTGGGGCCAGGAAAGGTGATATAGGTTGATCCATGCCTATACATTCTATCTTGGGCTGACCAGGGATGGAATAAACTAAACTGGGCTGAACTGAGCTGAGCTGGGCTGAGCTGGACTGAGATGGGCTGGCCTGGGCTGGGCTGGGCTGGGCTGGGCTGGTATGAGCTGGGCTGGGCTGGGCTGGGCTGATATGAG